TAAATGTAAATATGCGATATCGTATCTATCACATATATCTATTAGTATATTATACATCACACAACGACAGTAGTGTGAAAAAGTATTTATATCTATATCTGTATATCTATATCTAAACAAATAGATCTAATTGAATACTATATACAATGAAATACGAATATAATCTGTATCTACACTGCATCTAAATACATGTATCATACTTTAGGAAAATGCCGTAGCTATAAAAATGAGACAATGAAAAACAACAACACAAACAACAACAACAACAACAAAAAAACAGGAAACTAATTTACAATTTTTTTTCCCTTTTATTTCCTTGTTCTCAGAAATGTCTCGTTTCCTACTTGCCTCAAGATATTTGTTTGCTGTTGTTGTTGTTCCCATTTCCCTAAATTGATCTTCGTTTAAAAAGGGAAATGCCGAGAAAGTTGAAGAAAAAAAGAAAAAAAAAACAAGAACTCGTTCGTGTTAGTATATGTTTTTTTTATCATTATCATTATTATTATTATTATTATCATCATCATCATCATCTTCTTTATTATTATTAGTAGTAGTAGTAGTAGTAGTATTTTTATACTCATTTTTATTATCATTCTCCGTTAGGAAGACTATTCCCCCTTGTCGTTCCATTCGTGTCGAGGAATTGGAAATACCAAGAAAACGAAAAAAAGAAAAAAAAAGAAAAAATGGAGAAAAATAATAGAAACAATCTCTTGTCAAAAAAACACAAAAAAAAACACTAAGAAAAGAAAAAAAAACTGAGCAAACAAACAAATCCTCAAAAAACAAAAAAAAAAAACACACACAAAAGAAAGAAAGAAAGAAAGAAAAAAAAAACACTTAAACAACCCTTCCAGCTGATCGCCACCACAACCACTATGCTATTCCAAGGCCACGTGTACAACCACCCCCTTCCCCCCTCCCCCTTCTGGCAACGTTGCAGGAAATATGACGTTGCTTCTGTTTCTGTTGTTCAGGAAGGTCGGCGCAGGGGGGGGGGGGTGCGGGAATAACTACGATAGCCTTCGGGAGAGGAATAAGAGGAAAAGGGAAGGAGGAGGGAGGGAGGGAGGGAGGGAGGGAAGAAAGAGGGGAGAGGAAGGGATGGGAGAGGGGGGGGGTGGGAGGGAAGGAAGGGGGAGAGGGAGGGAGGGAGGGAAGGAAGGGGGAGAGGGAGGGAGGGATGCGAAGGGAAGAAAAGGGGGGAGAGGGAGGTAAGGAAGAAAGGGGGAGAGGGAGAAAGGAAGAGGGAAGGAGGGAGGGAGGGAAGAAAGAGGGGAGAGGGAGGGAAGAGAATAAAGGAGGGAGAGGGAGGTAGAAGGAAGAGAGAGAGAGACAGACAAACAAGCAGACAGACAGACAGACAGAGAGAGAGAGAGAGAGAGAGAGAGAGAGAGAGAGAGAGAGAGAGAGGGAGAAGAGAGGGACGGAGAAATAAAAGAAAAAGGAGAAAAAAAAGACAAAGTAAGACGAGGAATATTCCGATCAATAAAGAAAAACAAAACAAATCTCAAGGAAACGAACGAACGCGAAACAGCTAACGAAAACAACAAAGAAAAAAACAACAACAACTGGAGACCAAGAAACAAGAAAGGAAAAAAAAGAAAGAAAGACAAAAGACAATAAAAAACCACGCAGGCAGGATTGCACAGTTCGCGGTTTCCTTTATACAAACGCCTTTTAAAGATTGCGGGAAAGATCGCTTGTTTGCTGGGTGATTCCTGGCGCTTCCTGATCCTAATTACGGCAATTAATATCAATTACAGTAATGAGGAAGATGTGATTACACCTGGGAAGGGGGGGAGGAGGGATGGAACCGCATTGTTTTGTTTTTGTTTGTTTTGTTTTGTTCCGTGTGTGTTTATTTTTGGTTTGTCTTTGCGTGTATGTGGATGTGTGTTCGAAGAATTGTCTTTTTTATGTTTATTTGCATTTGTGTGTGTGTGTGTGTGTGTGTGTGTGTGTGTGTGTGTGTGTGTGTGTGTGTGTGTGTGTGTGTGTGTGTGTGTGTGTGTGTGTTCGTGTGCGTGCGTACATGTGTGACATAAACACATGTCTGTACTTATGTCTCCCTGCGTGTTCCTACGTGTATGCAGGCACATACATAAGCAAATATCCTATCACCTATCTCATGGATCATCTAAATTAAGAGATCCGCTGAGAGTCTCTTGAAAAAAAAAATATTCTAAAGTGAAATTATAATGAATTACAGAATAGCCGGTTATGTTGGTCGTCTGAATTACTGGTTTGTTACAGTTCCTCCATCTGTTCAGCATTAAAAAAAATATATATATTCATGATAAAATTATTGCTATTTCTAATTCTAAATGTTCAGATTATGTTTAAATTATAACATTAAATAATAGAGGAAATATTTTACACTTCTTTTTGCTTTTCAGTGTGTTCTCCTCTCACTCCCTTTTATCTTTCTCTCTTCTCTTCCCTTTCTTTTCCCTCCCCTTTCTCTCTCCATTTCCCTTTTCTCTCTTTGTTTCTTTATTTTTCTTTCTCTCAATCTATTTCCCCATTCTAACCTATCTCTCTCTCTCTCTCCCCTCTCTTATTCCCTCTATTATTTTCTCTCTCCTCCCTTCCTCACTTTCTCTTTCTCTCCTTCTTCTTCTTTACCCACTTCCTTTCTCTGCCTATCTCCTTCTCTCCCTCCTCCTCTTCCCCTCTCTTTCTCTCCCTCCTCCTCTTCCCCTCTCTTTCTCTCCCCTCCTCCCCTCCTCCTCTTTCTATCTCTCTCCCCCCCTTCTTTCTCTCTCCTTCCTCAGGGGATCAAATTACAAGTAACATGTCACACAGGTCTTCCTTAAAGTCTTAGTCAATTCAATTTTATTAAATAACACACGTGCCAGGATTTACAGACGTCATCGCATTATTAAAGGTCATGGATTTTAAGTTTTTTTTTATTATTTCTATTAATTTTGTATTCGGGTGTGTGTGTGTATTTTTTTTTTTATCATTTTCTCATGTCGAAATCATGAACACGTTTGTTATCTTTATCATCGCTATTATTACTATCATGACTGGCCTTTTTTTATATTCATCATCACTGTTGTTATCATTATCGTTATATTTTTTTCTGGTAACACTATCACATTTTTTTTCATTATTATTTTCTCTATTGCTATTACCATCATCATCATCATCACAATCAACACATAATTATCATTGTCATCACTATCATCATCTTTTACACTTTCCTTTTACATTCATACTTTACTGAATGATGAAAGCGAATGAAAGGAAATGAAACATTATGACAATGACACTACAGAACAATACAAATGTTACGAGGAAGTGAAACAAAAAAAAAATATTGTAATTAAGTATCTCCTTAAGAATATTTTCCTTTAGTAACCATTTCAAGGATTTTGTTTTGTTTTTGCTTTGTTTGTTGTCCCGGGGAGTCAAGGAGACGTTATTTGTTCTATTTTTGTTTGTCTTTTGTTCTTTGTTGTTGTTGTTGTTCATTTCAGTCGCGGAAGATTGTCTATGTGATTTTTTGTATACGTTAAGGAAATGATTTTCGTATTCTTTCAATGTTTTTTTTTTTTTATTCTTTTCTTTTCTTTTTTATTGCGTTTTGTGCTAATTATATCTACGAATATTGGGACTATCTCTTTGTCACTCTTTCTCTCTCTTTCTGTTACCATGTCAGGCTGTCCAAGTGTGTTTGTCTTACTTTTTCTGTTAGTTTCTGCCTGTTTGTGTCTGTCTGTCCATGTGTCTGTTCGTATTATTCTATGTATATGTCTGTGCTGGTCTGTCTGTCTGTCTCTGGCTCTCTCTCTTATTTTTCCCGTCCACTTGCTCTCCCTTTCTCTCCTTTTCCTTTTCCTTCTCCCTCCCTCTCCCCCTCTGCATCTCATTTTCACTTTTCCTTCTCTCTCTCTCTCTCCCTCTAATATTTATCTAATTTCTTCCCACCACTTTCACAAGCCTGCATGAACAAGCACTTTTATCACGTCTACTCATGACACCAATTACAGAATCCTTCATAAGTTCAAGAAATATAAACATAAATGATTTACACTCTAATTCGCACTCTTTATTTGTGAGTCTTCTAATTCGCACACTCTCTTTTGGGGGTCTCTAATTCGCACACTCTTTATTGTAGGTCTCTAATTCGCACACTCTTTTTCGTGAGTCTTCTAATTCGCACACTCTCTTTTGTAGGTCTCTAATTCGCACACTTTTCCCTTCGTCCTTTTTAAGAGAAATGATATACGTAGCTGGTTGGGTTAGGACACTTGTTTTCAACTTGTGAATTCAAGGATACGTGTTGAGTTAGCTTTGATTGGACAAATAATTATAAGAATGCAATATGACAAAGTAAAATTAATTCACTTTCTCATTTACTCTATTAAAAAAAAAGTGATTATGCAAAAAATGTAAAAACAGGAAAAGTAAAAAAAAAAAGAAAAAATTAAAACTTGTCTTCAACGACATACTAGTTACGACCGCCTGAGTTGCCCTCAGAAAAACATTTTTTGGGAAAAGATTCCCTATATTTTCCCAAGAGATCTGTCGACAACACCTACCCGTCTTCCTTTTCTCTCTCTTTCTCTTTCCTCTGCAATATCTAATCTATAATTAAAGTTTAAAATGTTATTCTTGCATGATGGGTCAAAATGTTGCACAATTGGCTTTTGGACTTTTCTCGCATTGCAGGTCACAGAGCCAATGCAACTTCTGACCCAATGCTTGTCGTTCGATATACTGACGCTGTTAACATACGAAACGCGAAGTGTATGTTTAAAGTTCTAAAGCTTTATCGGCATTAATGATTGGTAAGTCCTCATTTGACGAAGAAGAAATCAACATAAAAAATAAAAAACATTAATAATCATATTAAAACACGTAAAGATACAATTTCCCTCCTTTTTTATATAAAAACAGAAAAAAAATGAAACATCTCGAAACTCTTCCGAAAAAAAAATCCAACAATAAGACAAAACGAAAATAACAGAACTACAACTCAGTAATCTTGCCTTTCAGTTGCCGGTAAAGTAAAAAAGAAGAGCACAGGACATACACCTTGCTCGTATGAGTTGTGGTTCACTACTGTCGAGTCTCCGTGTTTACTTTCTCTCTTCAACTTACCTGGTCGGCACCCAACGATGCCTGAGGTACGACAATGCGGCGTTGTCTTCTTGTTTTTCATGTGTGTGTGTGTGTGTGTGTGTGTGTGTGTGTGTGTGTGTGTGTGTGTGTGTGTGTGTGTGTGTGTGTGTGTGTGTGTGTGTGTGTGATGGGGGGGGATATAACCGGTCGTGTCGGTTTATATATATTTTTTTTTCGTATTATGTGTATGTGCATTGTGTTTGTTTACAATAAGTTATCCTCGTGACCTATATAAGTGAGAATGATGTATAAGCTTAACTGAAAAAAAGGTCAATTCAACATGTGGACGTACATTAATGAAGTGAAATAGGGTAAAACGTGAGGGAGATTTGATCAAAGGATATTTTATCAACAAAGCCAAGGCATAACCAGTACATACCTATTTTTTATCGGAGAAAAAAAAAATTGACCCGCACCAAAGATGGCCATGATGACGTCACGAGTTACTGGCCCGCAAAGTCACCATATGACCTTCCTTGGGTCACTTGGGTTAGCTGTCGTAGGGCCATACTTAAAAAAAAGAAAAAAAAAAGAAAAGGAAAAAAAATCGAACGGCGACTTGAATCCTTCCTCCAAAACAAGGCAACGCCAGGGACAGCGCCGCCAATGGCATTCGGACGCCACTTAAAGTACTAAAACAAAATTTGGTGCTTGTTGACATTTCCAGCCCGGATCTCACTTAAAATGCCAATTAATCATTTCTTAATGTACAGCTAATCTTATAAAATGATTGTTGACTTAACACATGCATATACACTTTAATACTATCACACATACACATAACCAGTATTTCATGAACATTTATGTTTGCGTTTTCCCTTAACTCTCTCTTATGCTAATTCTACCATTTATTTCCTTCTCATTGTCATATTGATAATTACTAGTCTTACTATTTACATGTTTCATTTGTAGGAATAATATCCTATTGTTTAAGAGTCATTGTTGTGTGGAAATTGCAAAAAATCAATTTCTGACAAATGCCAAATGCTCTCTCTATTAAATTCATGGTTCTTCAAGGCATTGCATCATATCTTTAGTTCAGAGTCTCTAGTAGGATTGCTTGTAGTTGTACATGAGATACGAGTTTTCGAGCAAATATTCCATATATTGAGTTTGCTCTAATTTTGTGCAGCAGTCAGTGTTTACCAAAAATCTGCTGTTTACTTGGACAATCACCATATATTATAATTCTAGATTCCCTGTGTAAAGATCTCTCTGGTATGAGGCCTCTCATAAATGCATCATCAAAGTGACGATGGCCTTGAAGTGGGTCGAAAGAATAAGGGCCTGGATAGGTAGGGACTGGATAGGTGGGTCCTGTTTACCCCATAATAAATAGGCAAAAAAAGTATGTCTATGGTCCCTTATAAGACCTCAAGGAAGTGTGGCCATTTATGAGACAGAGTGGTGATGCATGAATCTACCTTTCATATACTCAGAAGTTAGCTTTCACTGAACAAGGCAGATTATCAGATACAACCTTTTCTCTGTAAGATATCTCACTGTAAGATCCATAGAGAACACACAAACACACGTTCGGCCGTAACAACCATTTTATTTACCGGAATACTCCATTATATAAGCGGGGGAGGAGAAAGCAATACAAGCTTTCAGTTAAAGAATATATACAAAACACTTTATTTAAAAGAGATATCAAACACAGAGGCAATTAAAAGCAAATCTTCATTATAAAAATCATAAATGATAAAATTGAAAAAATAAAACGAGCTTAAAAATAATTATGACAGAATCATTATAAATAAAATAATAAACAATCAATCCTCTAAAAACTTAACTATAACCAAAATATCACAGAACAACGCAAAGTAGAAAATCAATGCTCAGTACCTAAAAATAAAAGAGGGATACGTGCCCAAAATCATTTGTAATTATGAAGCGTAAAAGAAAATAAAGAAACAGACAGACAAAGCTTCCATCAGCTTGCCAATCTCATAAAACTTTAAAATGGGCAAATACAACAAAATAAAATATAAAAACAACAAAACTAAAATCATGCTTAGCAAAATAATTAAATTAAGAAGAACAAATAAGAGCGGCACATTGGTGAATAAAAACAATAACTTCTAAAAGAGCCGAGAATAAAAAATGAAAAATGAAAAAGGCTGTAAGTTAAGGAAGGGATAGACTGACGCGAAAGAAGCAGGAAAAAAAGACGTAGGACAAAAGGAAGAGGACTAGAAGAGAGAAGATTGAAATTAGAAAAATTCTACCACTTAGATAAGTATGGAGTCTTAGATCATAGGCAGTTTTGAGAGGAAATCATGGAGTCTAAAACAAAGATATAAAAAAAATATAGGAAAGTTACTATAAAGACGAAAGAGTAAGAGTAAGTGAGAATAAAGAACAGCGGAAATAACATAAGAAAAAGAATGAATACTAAGCAAGGCCAGGGAGAAGGGGATATTAAACCCACAGAATTCTCGTAAAAAAATGTAGGAAAGAATGGGAGATAGAAAGAGTACATAGAGAAGAGCAGGAGAATATTTGGAACAAACGACGCAGAAGCTAGGAGAGGGAAAAGAAAAAACAGAGAAGAAAGAAAGGAAAAAAACACAGAGGAGAAGAAAAAAAAAAACACAGAGGAGAGGGGAAGGAAAAGACACAGAGGTGAAGGAAAGAAAAGGCGCAGAGGAGAAGAAAAGGAAGAGACACAGAGGAGAAGAAAAGGAAGAGACACAGAGGAGAAGAAAAAGAAGAGACACAGAGGAGAAGAAAAGGAAGAGACACAGAGGAGAAGAAAAGGAAGAGACACAGAGGAGAAGAAAAGGAAGAGACACAGAGGAGAAGAAAAAGGAAGAGACACAGAGGAGAAGAAAAAGGAAGAGACACAGAGGAGAAGAAAAGGAAGAGACACAGAGGAGAAGAAAAGGAAGAGACACAGAGGAGAAGAAAAGGAAGAGACACAGAGGAGAAGAAAAGGAAGAGACACAGAGGAGAAGAAAAGGAAGAGACACAGAGGAGAAGAAAAGGAAGAGACACAGAGGAGAAGAAAAGGAAGAGACACAGAGGAGAAGAAAAGGAAGAGACACAGAGGAGAAGAAAAGGAGGAGACACAGAGGAGAAGAAAAGGAAGAGACACAGAGGAGAAGAAAAGGAAGAGACACAGAAGAGAAGAAAAGGAAGAGACACAGAGGAGAAGAAAAGGAAAAAAGACACAGAGGAGATCGAAAAGAAAAGACAGTAACTAGGAGAAAGAAAGGGAAAAAAAACACACAAGAAAGGGAAAAGAAAAATGAAAAAGAAAAGGGTAAGGGAGGCAAGGAATAGGAAAAGGGAAGAAAAAGGTGGTGAGGGAAGGCAGAGAAGGAAGGTCAGGTGGCCTCACACGCATAATTCCTTTCCTACTTATAAGTTCCTCAGGTGATTTTCGCGGTTACGGAAGAGAAATGAGTAACCTCTTGATATTTTCGACTGATTGCTTGCGTGGCTCTGCTGTTCGGAGACAGAGCTGTCGTCGGAGAGTGCTTGCATCTGACAGTAATGTTTCTGGTGTAGATTTATTGACAAGCTATAGAGATCATTCAAAATTATATGTTCATTTCAACTGCAGTCCACCTGTAGCCATGCACTTCAAAGTAATAGGGATGAAGCATTTATAAATAGAAAAAAAATAATATCAAAGCAATGAGTGCACCCATGCATGTACATAAGTGTGTGTATAGATATTTTCACACACACACACATATATATATATATAAGTCAAAGTGTACCTCTGTAAACATTTAATATTATAATAATATCTTTAGTGAGAAAATTTTGTAACAATATTTTATAATATGTTCGTTTCATTCTTTTCTTAGGTGTGGCACAACGTTCGGCTTACATGGCATTGGAAAAGGTCTTTCCCTGAGGATCTTCCAGGAAAACAAATATGTCCGACCACAAGCAGCAGTGTTCCAAAACGATCCAGAAGCCCCAAGGAAAGAGTATCTGCTAGTGAGAGCGGCCTCGGTTACTTACACAGAGGGAAGGAAGGCGAAGTACTTGATGCTGTGCGTTAGAGCATCTTTTAGTACAAAGTTGTCTCTGGTAAATCTTTCTTTGCAATTTTATCACCCCGTCGATATTTCCTCCTACATCCTAGGTGACGAAATATCATAGTTAAAGAATTTTCTCCCGAATATTGTTGTGGAAAGGTGAAGCTTTGAATCCTACGAAACAGGGGTGGACCACCGAAGACAGCAGAACGATTTCCCTGAAAAATGATCTTTCATAAACGCTTATTAAGAGCTTATCAAACTGGTGAACTATAATTGCCCAAAGGGGTGCTCGAATCTCCGATACAGCTGCAAAAAAATTGGCTTGAAATGTAGACCGAGAAGATGAAAGCCATGTTTTTTTGTTTTTTTACAATTTAAATGACTAGTATTTCTGTTTAAAAAAAGAGGTATGAATGAGAAAGAATATCGAAGCCACTTAAATACATCTCCTGCATTGTAAAGATATTCATTCTTATTCACACCTTTTCTACATTTGTCATGAACTGCTTTTAAGTGGTTTGCTGGACTGCCTTTTTTTCGCTTAAACTGGTATGGTGATATGTGTAAGTATTGGCTTTTGTATTTTGTTTAATCTTAACAAGTTCATTCTTAAAACTTCTATTTTGTAAGATGATGGACGAGAATAATTCAGGATTTATTAAGTTAACTAGAACTTAATATACCTTCTATCCAGTTTGTACTCAATAACTTTTGCGTTGGAGTATATGGAAATAAAACAAGATTTTTATGTAAATTATGACGACGGAATCAACCAGCCGACTCGTGCAAGTTTTGAATGCAATTATTTTTTTAGAGTCATCTAAAGAAAACTGATTGATTGCTAATTGAATTATTCCGATAATCCTGATGACGTCATCAAAATTTGCCGCGCGACAGTACTGTGAGATAGAAATTCTATAAGCAAT